CTGGAACAAGGAAATGTAACATGGCAATTTATGGTCAACACTGTCCAAAAAAAGATCTGGGAGTAAAAACAGTCATTAGCAGGGGTGGGATTCAAATGTTATAACTGATTCTGTGGGCGTGGCTTAGTTGGTGGGTGTGGCTTGGTGGTCATGTGATTGGGTGGACATGGCTTGGTGGTCATGTTATTGGCTGGGCCTGGCTAACTCAATATCACTCACAGGCATCTCCTCGCCTGGCCTCTCATGACTGTGGGGATGCTGCAACAGTCATAAGTGTGAAAAACGGTCATAAGTCATTTTTTTCAGTGCCATTGTAACTTTGAATGGTCACTCCACACAAGCAAAGTATCAGAAAGGAGGGGGAAAAAACTCCAGAGAGGTTCCTAAGACAGGAAGTCTAGTCCTGCCAAGAATGTAATAAGGGTTAACAGGGAAGCAGTTTCTGTAAGCAACACCAGAATGTTTCCTTCCTGCCTTCCTTACAGGATTAGGCCAGTAATTTCTTCTTCTTCTTTTGAAACAAATTTTATTAATTTTAAAGACAAACAAACGTCATTAAACATTGAAAACATAAAACCTCTTTCCATTATAAATTTTTACAAGGCAGATAAAACGTTATTTTATACAACATAGTTCTAATTTCTCCCATTTCCATATGAACACATAAATATCTTTTAGCAAATTTCTCATTATTTACTCTTATTCAATTACATTTCTTTTCTATATTTATCCATTTTATAGTCATCATATTCATATTTCCCTCTGACTTGTTTACGGTTATTCTCATCTAACATTCCTTCAAGTTTTTATTAATTCTCAAACAAACATAAACACACAAAACACAAAAACATAAAACTTCTTTATAGAAAGTAACTTGGCCCCAGATTACCTCTCTTTATATGGACTTCAATTAGATTCATGCTCATCTTATATACCATTACCTATCTTGTTTGCCATTCTATATCTTCTATATAACTTCTCCCCGTTTTTCACTCTTCTTAATTCTATTTTATTTATTTCATCTTAGTTTAAATCATTATATTTGTATCTTTTGTCCGTTTTTTTCCAATTATCCATTTATCTCATTCCCTATAATAAATAATTAAAAAGATTTCTCCTGAAATCACTAATCGAAGTATGATGCCCTTCTATCGTTCCCCTAAATTAGTATTTAAAATAACACCTAGTTCCCAATCTGATTTTGCTTAGTACATTCTACCTACTAAGTTTTTTTTTAAAAAAAGAGAATAGTAAATCTATAAAATAATTAAATACATATTTAAATATTAAATCTTATAACATTCCAATTATCTATTTCAAAAACAAACACTGCAATAATAAATTTATAATAACATCAACACAATAATCAATTAAACTCTATAGTTAAACTAAATTATTTTAAACATTCCCTTTAATATTTTATTAAATCTTAAAATCTATCATTATTAAGCATTTTAATATTTTAATCTTTTATTCAATCTTATAAAATTCTAATTTTCTATTTCTAATACAAATAACACAATACTATCTTATGTACTTTGCAAAATCTTTTTTTTAGAAAATTATACATTACCCTTTGTCCCTAAAAATTTTTTGTTTTTTCCCATCTTGTTTCATACCTTTGTGGCTTTTTTCCCCCTTTTCGCTTCCTTTCTTATCCCACCTGGCCTTTTTACCCCCCCCCTCCTAACCTCCACCTTTGTAGCTTCCCCTCTCTGTTGTATTCCTCTTTTCTTTTGCTTTCTAACATTGTATTGATTTTGCATCTTATTTTTCTCTCTCTTGGGTGTTTTTTTAGGTCTTAAATCCTTCATTTTCCTTCCTCTCTTTCTCCTTTCTTTCTTAATCAAACTTTTGGATTCATTAAAGATGGCTTCTTCTTCTTCTTCTTCTTCTGCTTCCTCCATCTGTTGTTGTGTTTGCTGACAAATAGCAAGAGCCATTTCTAAAAAGTGAAAGGCTTCTTCCAGAGCGTCCTTGCTTTCTTTCTTTGTTTTTCCATATTCCTTTCTTAGTTCATCAACAGATAAAGCCATTATGGGAAGAAGGCGGAGTCTCGTCGCTGCGATACAGCTGCTATCTCGGGGCTCTGAGATAGCTGCTGATATCCCCGCTCCTGGTCGGTCCCCACGGACCTAAACCGTCCCGTAGAGACGGTGATAGTAAGGGGCGCGTTCTGTAGATCCCAGGGACATCGCAAGTCCCTGGTTGATCCAGAAGAAGCCCTTTTACCATCGGCGGGGAGGCAGCCATTAAGCTGCTGAAGTTGGGACAGCTCCGGAAGGAAGAGACAAGAAAGTGTATCGGCTGGTGAGGATTCTTTTTTTTTTTACTTGGGACTTAAGGACACCCTAAAATGAGAAGGAATCTGTAAAATTTTTGACAAAATTTGACTTAGCGGCGATTTTTTCTTTAAGAATGTCAAAATGAGGCTTGGGTTTTTATTTTTACTTTTTTTTTCTCTTCACTGAACTTCTATTGCGATCTAGTTAATCAGACTGGTTTTTTCTTTTATATTTACTTGCTTTTTTCTCCTCTTTTTGACTGTTTATATTATATAAAATAGAGGCTCCCTTTAGTATCTTTTTTTTAAAAAATATATATATACATAAACATATATATATATACTCTTTCTTTTTTTTAGGCTTTTTTAGGGAGGAAAAGGGGGAGAGGTTTTAAGAAATTTTGCAACACTGCCAACTAGAGGCTTGAAAAGATTTTATTTGAAGTTGAGAGCTGGGAAAAGAAATTCTTTTCAAGGCTACTGGAAGTGATAAGATAGAGGGAAGAGTGCTGGAAGATGTTTATACAGGTGCTCTTTGGGACTTCTATTATCAACTGAATATTTGAAGCTTGGCCTTGAAATTTGTGGAGAAGCCAAATAAAAGCCTTGGATAAATAAAAGGCAGTGTGTGCTTTCTTTTTTTATTTTTTATTAAGTTGGTTTATCCCTCTCCTCTAACCCCACAATATTTTGTAATATTGGTATATTTATTTTTTATTTTACCTTATTTTTTTATTTTATTTTTAAAGGAGAAGCCTCGGAATATTTGCTTTTCGTTTTTATTTTATTTTTTACTGGAATATTTGCCTCTTTATCTCTACTTTAGACTTGTTTTTACAGCTATTTTCCATTTTTTGAGGTCTTTTAATTGGATTAAGGTGAGAAGAAGCTGAAGAACTCCTTTTTTTTTTTTTTTTGCTTATTACCTTTTAATAATGTTGGGCTTTATTTTGTCTTTTTTTCTCTTTATTTTTAATTTTTACTTTTGAATTATAATTGAGTATTTCACAGCTGGATTAAGGTCTTGAAGAACCTGAAGAATTTCTCTTTTCTAATTTTGGGCTTTTTACTTTTTTACTTTTTATTGGGGTTTTTTTTTTTTTCTACTTGGTGTTTTCTTTTTTCCTAATTGGATTACAATTGGCTACTTTATTAACTGGATTAAAGGAGCCGGAAGACTTTGAGCCACGGAATGAGTAAGAAAATTTTACCTTTGGGCAGCTCAACTTCTGCTCCTGTCTCCCCATCAACTGGAGGACGACTTTCAATAATGGCGAAGCAAGATAAAGCACAAGTGGATTTAATGACGGTTATGCAAGGAATACAAGACCTAAAAATGAGTATGGAACAAAGAATGGAGAGTATTGAACAAACTATGGAACAAAGAATGGAGAGTATTGACCAAAGAATTGGGAAGATTGATGAAAAATTTGAAAATGTTCAACAGATGATGGTGAAACATGATGAGAGAATCCAAAAAATAGAAGAGAAAGATAAGCAAAGAGATGACATAATTGGAAATATTGATAGCAGATTAACAATGGTTGAACAAGAAAAAAGTGGGATGTTGAAGTGGGAGATGGACAGGTCAGAATTTTACCTTAGATTTCAAAATATTGAGGAAGAAAAAGGACAGAATTTGACTGCTGTAATGATTGAAATCTTGGCTGGAGCCTTGGAAATAACAGAGGAAAAGATGATGGATGGGGTAGATGAGATATATCGAGTCTTCACAAGATATGCGATGAGGAACCAACTACCAAGAGAGGTCCATGTCAGATTCACCAAAAAAACTATTAAAACTCAAATATTACAAGTGGCAAGAGAGACGGGGTTGAAATACAAAGACAAAGAGATTGCGGTTTTAAAACAAGTACCCAGAAAAGTGAGAGAGATTAGAAGAGAATATCGATTTTTGACCAAAATACTATTGAAAAAAGAGGTGAATTATAGATGGCTGATTCCAGAAGGATTAATGTTTACATGGCAAGAACAGAGATATAGAATTGATTCAATTGAGAAAGCAGAAGCATTCTACAAGGAATTTTTCGAAAGAAGAGAAATGGAGATAGAAAAAGAGAACATCTTAACTGAACTTGAAGAGGACCAAATGGGAACGGGAAAAGAAGAAGGCGCAATAGGTGGACAAGCGGAGACCAAAGAACAACGTGAAGAAAGATCCACGAGAGCTGTTAGACCTAAGTATAAAGTATAACCATGGAGGAAATAAAATTGATTTCCATGAATATAAATGGACTGAATTCAGCTACCAAAAGAAGGAAAACTTTTTGCAAATTAGAGAAGCTAAAATTTGATATAATTTGTCTACAAGAAGTTCATATTAAAAAACAACATGAACAACTATTGGCACGATTAAAATTAGGGAAAATATTTACTTCTCTGACTCACTGTAAGAAAAGAGGAGTGGTTTTGTATATTAGAGAAACCATTCCAGCAAAACTGATTTATACCGATGAAGACGGAAGAGTATTAATGGTTGAAATAGTGGATAATAATACAAAAACGCTCTTGGTTGCAATTTATGCCCCAAATGATAAACAAGAAGAATTCTATAAAAACTTACACATGAAAATAATTGGACTGGACTATGTTAATATACTTATGATGGGAGATTTCAATGGAATTGTAGACAATAAACTGGACTATACAGCAAAAGCAACACGACAAAATAGGAAGATCCTCCCTAAATCCTTTTTTAAAATGACAGATGAATTAAACTTAAAAGATATATGGAGAGAAAGAAATGCTAAAATTCAACAATACACTTTTTATTCCAATAGACATTTATCATGGTCCAGAATAGATATGATTTGGACATCAACAGAATTATTATCTAATATTCAAGAAACAAATATTGAAACAAGTACGTGGGCAGACCATAATCCAATGACAGTTAAATGGAAAGGACAAAAAAGAAGATCTAGATGGACATTAAACAATGCTATTTTAAAAGAAAAAAACTTTACTCAATGGATGGAAAAAGAATTGGCTTTCTTCTTTAAAGAAAATAAAAAGGAAGATACTTCAATACAGAATGTTTGGGATACAATGAAGGCATATGCAAGAGGATTAATAATAGACTATATAAAGAAAAAGAACATTAAGAAGAGGCAAATGATTAAAGCTCTAGAAGATGACCATAAAAAACTTGAAAAAGAATTACAGAAAACGCCACAGAAAAAAGATGTTAAACTTAAAATGGATATCATCAAACATAAATGGATCAAGTAGAGAAAGAAGAACTGGCACAAAAAATTAGAAGTGCTAAACAGAACTATTTTGAAGATGCAAATAGGCCAGGTAGATGGCTAGCATATAAATTGAGAAAAGAGAAAGAATCAAGGAAAATATTACAGTTAATAGACGATCAAGGTCAAATTTGTTATGGTAATAAAGAGAAAAAGGCAATTATTCAAGATTTCTATGGACAACTATATAAACAGGAGGATTTTGATGAAGGAAAAATTAAACAGTATTTACAAAATGCTAACCTACCTAAGATATCTGATGAAACTGGGAAAATGTTAGAAAGTGCTATAACAATGATGGAACTAACTGAAGCACTTAACAGACAGAACAATGGAAAAGCACCAGGACCAGATGGTCTCCCGGCAGAATTTTATAAAACATTACAAGAATCGTTGAGCACTTCACTGTTAGAAGTTATGAATGAAGTTATGATAAACAAGAAAATACCTAAAACATGGTCAGAAGCTTATATTACACTTATCCCAAAAGAAGGGGTCGACCCATTACAAATTAAGAACTATAGACCTATTTCCTTATTGAATGCAGATTATAAAATCTTTGCTTCAATCTTGGCAGAGAGGCTTAAAAAATACTTAAACAACTTTATTCACTCTGATCAGAATGGATTTTTACCAAAGAGACAAATTAAAGATAATATGAGGGTAATCCTGGACACATTGGAATATTATGAGTCGCATCCTGAAAAACAAATGGCTTTGATATTTTTAGATGCGCAAAAGGCATTTGATAACGTGAATTGGAGATTTATGTTATTATTATTGGAACAGATGGGCTTTGCTAGAAAATTTATCCAAGCAATAGAAGCCATATATTATAAGCAAACGGCAAAAGTAATGATAGATGGAGAATTTACAGACTCTATTAATATTAAAAAAGGTACAAGACAAGGATGCCCATTATCTCCTTTGTTATTTATATTGACTTTGGAAGTGCTAAATAGAAATACTAGGGAGGATACAAACATAAAAGGAATGAAAGTTAAAAAGGAGGAATTTAAATTGCAAGCCTTTGCCGATGACTTGGTTTTTATCTTGGAAGACCCTCTAGAGACAGCTTTAAAACTATTGGAAAAGATAGAGATATATGGTGAGATGGCTGGCTTGAAAATAAATAAAGACAAAACAAAGATTTTGACAAAGAACATGTTGTTAAGACAAAGAGAAGAGCTGGCAGACTTATTGAAAATTCAAGTTACGAACAAAGTTAAATATTTGGGGATATATTTGACGTCAAGATGTTCTACACTGAAAGATAATAACTATATTAAACTTAAACAGCAGATAGCATCTGATTTGAAAAAATGGGAAAACTTACAATTGTCATCGATAGGCAGAATTTCAACAATTAAGATGAATATTTTACCTAGAATTTTGTATTTGTTCCAAACAATACCAATTAGGTTAGGTAAGGATTACTTTGAAGAACTGAATAAAATTGTGTTGAAGTATATATGGCAAGGTAAGAAAGCGAGAATAAAATTAAAACTTTTACAGGATGCTAGAATTAGAGGAGGATTTGGCCTCCCTAATTGGGAGTTGTATTATCAAGCTGCAAACTTAATGTGGGCTAAAGAATGGATAACGTTAAGAAAGACCAGATTGTTGGCATTAGAAGGACATGATTTATTATTGGGTTGGCATGCTTTTTTATGGTATAAGGGAACTAAATCACAGGGTTACTTTAGAAGGCATTATATACGGGAATCGTTATGGTTGAATTGGGAGAAAACTAAGAAACAATGTTATTTGAAAATCCCAGTTTGGTTATCAACTATTGAAGCTTTTTCTTATCCTATAACCTATAAGAAGGAACAAACAGTTAGATATGGGGAATTATTAGATGAAAAGGGTGAACTTAAAATGATGCAAAATTTAGAAGAACAAGGCATAAAGATAAATTGGTTTTCATATGCGCAAATACATTCAAGGTATCTTAAAGATTCTAAAATGGAAGGATTCTATGATAAATTGACTGATTTAGATAGGATTTTGACAGGTACTGATGAAAAAGTGATTAAAAAATTATATAATTATTTGTTGGAAATTAAATTAGAGGAAGAGCAGGTTAAAGAAACAATGATTGCTTGGGGGAAGAATTTTGGATATGGGATTGATTTAGAGAAATGGCAAAAATTGTGGTCTCAAAACTATAAAATGACAATGTCAACAGCATATAAAGAAAATTTGTATAAGATGTTTTACAGGTGGCATTTTCCCCCGACAAGAATAGCAAGAATGTTCAAGAATAAATCTGAAAAGTGCTGGAAATGTCAACAGATACCTGGCTCATACTACCATATGTGGTGGACTTGTGAGGATGCTAGAAAATATTGGACTAGAATTCGCATATGGTTGGAAAAAATGACAAAGAAACATATAGATTTGAAACCAGAGATTTTTTT